TGGCATTTCTCCCAGCTGTTAGGTCTCATTTACCACCTGGTTGGTCTCACTGGTAACACAAGAATGCTGCCAATAACCATCTCGGTCAGGAGGGAAGTCCCTTGTCCCTAGTTTTGTTCCTGCCCAACTTAAAGCAGGAGCTGTTGGATTCCAACCAAAGCCAATTCTAACGAGTCCCGTGTGTAACAGGCTGTTATATAGATGATAGTTTAGTTAATTACCGTTTTCCAATACACTGTATTATTTCCACGTTGGTGAACAGCGGCTTAATTACAGAACTTTATCTCTCTGCAAGACAACGCCTGAGAGAGGTTCCCCGGTAACCTCTGTTGGTGCATCTGTTGTCATGTTTAATTTGGGGTGAGAACTGCAGAGCTGGAATCCAGCCGATTCGTGGGTAAACGCAGTCAATAAATTTTATGTCATATTCTTGGGTATTTGACTAGGTCAGTTACCTACACTGGATTAATGAAGGCAGCAGTAAGTTTCCAGGTCTCTTTTCACAGATGTCATTACCTGGCTGAACACTGAAACCTTGGTATAATGAGGATGTAAACTGATGTAGTTCACATAAAAAAGCCCATTATTTGAATTTGCATAACATAGAGTGCACCATTTTGTCTAAAACATGTATAATTATTCAAATCGCTGCTGCCTCTTTCTTGAGTAAGCTGAATACTGCTGCTTTCTCTTTGGCCAGAAATGCAGGGAATACCACCAGACTGACCTTGCACATTCTAAATCTGTGGCCCCAGGTGATCCAAGAAGATAAAACTGGGAGGGCCTCAAACAAGGTTGTCTTCTTCTCTCTGCTCCTCAGCTCTGGCCCAGTACACAGCAGCAGAAGCAGACAGCTGAAGGACACTAAGGCAGGCTGTATTTGTCTTCCAGGGAGGTCAAGGAGGCATTTGCTTCTGTTCTATTCATTTTCTTATTCAGTTAAACAACCAAATACAGCAGGCTTCAGGTAGCATTCTCTTCTCCCAGATTTGTCTTAGTGTTGGTGCTACTGGGATAATGGAATGTGAATAGAAAGTGGTCCCACTGGCACAGGGAGGTTGGATTCTTGACAGCCATTTGGCATGGGAAGCTCTCCCTAGAAAATTTGTACAATTGGTGTGGACATTTTCTGTGCATCCTCACATGGAGAGGTTAAAGGCTAATTAATAACCACACTGGGAGTTCATTCTCTCTGCATGGCCTTGCAGTCCTTGGAACCGACTCATCTATCTTTAATTTGAAGCAAGGAAAAAAACACATGAGTTTAAGAAACTATTTATTCAAGCCCATTCCTTCAGAAATACTGTCTCAAAGTTAATTGGTCATGTCTGTATCTACTGCCTGAGTTGGTCTTTATTCTAAGTGCTTTAATGGTATACGATCAGCTCCTCACAGCTGTATTTAAGATGCCAGATTGGTGCCTGTGCCCTGCCTCTTTCACAATCCACCATCCCCTCTGCCTCTTCTCCTTGGTACTTAGTGGTGGAGGCATCCATCTTGGAGAACTTCCTTGCTCACAGAGGGTTTTGACTGGTCTATCTTCCCCCAAAGATCTCTATGTTTGTTTCCCTGACATTAGGTAGAGAGGATTCCTTTTCCTGTGACCTCTATTCTCAATTCCCTGCCTCTCTGTGGCCTTCTTTGACAGGAAGTTATCCTTTCTCTGTATCTCTCAAATTCTGGAAAAACAGGAATCACCTCCTAGATACCTTTCCTGGCACAGTGCTTACTTGCCTCTGTGATAAAGGGTCAGGCTGTCTCTTCCACCTGCCAGAATCCAGAGTGAACATGGCTAGAACCAAGACTCTCGCTTATGTCCTTCAATCCCCAAAGGGGAACGTTAGCACAACCATGGTATAAGGGAACCTTTGGAGACCTTAAAGACCTAAAGAGAAAATAGACATGAGGAAAAGTACAAGATTATGCAACTAACCAGTTCTTTCAGTGATCTCCAGGACTACTTGATCATTGGTTTTCTTCCATGGAAATTAAAGGCTGTCTACAGTGAGGGTGTCCTGTTAGTCCAATGTTCTCCAAGCTTTCCTAGTTGCAGAGAAAGGAAGGTTGGCTTATTAAACCCTGAAAGTATTTGAAATTCCCTGTCAATGTCTTTAGCTTCTAGGCTCTCTGGTACTAGTCTTGTGCCCTTTGGATATTTTAGAGATAAAAATAGCTTATATATACAAATATTTACCAAACAGTTGTGTACCAGCTGTGGCTAATGCAGATGAAGGTATTGCAGCCTGTGTTAGGAATTTCCCAGGAGTTCCATGGCAGCCATGAGAGGGCCAGAGGTATAGGGTTGGTGATGAGCAGAGCCAGGGCTTGTACTGAGTGTAGAACCCAGAAGCTAGGAACATGGCTACAGAGCAGAAAGCTGGGCAGAAGTTCTCATACTGTACCTAATCAAATACCAACTATTTTCTGCTCTTTGATCAGGATTGAGACTCAGTCTTGTCCTTATTTTCATCACAGTCCTGTCTCCTGACTAAGTAAGCAGGTTACCTGCCAAACCATCATCCAGTAATAACAATTCTTCCAAAGCAAATAATTGCCCAAAGCAATAAAGCATGGACCAATAAAGATCAATAAAGCAATGATCTCTTTAGGAAGAGATCATTGGTGCTGAGTGGCACTAAAGACACTAATGCCCCAAATGACAGGTATGAAATATTATTTTAAAAATAAAAACAAAACATAAAACAGAAAAAAGGGGGAAAGTCACACACAGGTGACTTAATCACAGTATAAGGTAATAATGAAAAGAACTTGAATTTAATTTGTGATATACAGACTGTCTCCAATTTATCATGGTATAGCTTGTGTGTTTTCACTTTTACCATGGTGCAAAAGCAATATGCATTCAGTACACTTAGAATTTTGATCTTTTCTTGGGCAAGCAATATGTGGTACCACACTCTGGCCATGATGGGCAACAGTAACAAGCTATAGTTCCCAGACAGCCACAGGAGCACACGTGCAAACAACCAGTACTCTAGAGTATACTATGTTGCTAAGCTAGAAGATTTGATAGGTTAAATTACTAAGTGCACTTTTTGCTTCACAGATATTATCAACTTATGATGAGTTTGTGTGAGGGGGGGTGGGGAATTTAACCCATAAGTTGAGGAGCATCTGTATTTTACAGACTTTTTTTTTTTTTCAACAACTTCTCTTTTTTTTTTTTTTTCATTTTTCTTTTATTATTCATATGTGCATACAAGGCTTGGTTTATTTCTCCACCCTGCCCCCACCCCCTCCCTTACCACCCACTCCACCCCCTCCCGCTCCCCCCCTCAATACCCAGCAGAAACTATTTTGCCCTTATCTCTAATTTTGTTGTACAGACTTTTGAAGGAATCATTGAAAGCATTACATGAATGATAGTTTTCCACGCAAAGTAGAGGCCTGATGTCCTCTACCCACTTCCACCATTTCACTCATGAAACTTGCTACCAATTAGTGTCCTCAACTCAGAAATAATCTCCCAGCACCAAAGAGCTGGGCTTCTGATCACTGGAATCTTAGCTCTATTGTAGGGGCTTGCTAATGATTTCCAGTGTCACCTCCATCTATGACACCACATCCAGTTCTATTGCCTTGCCTCACTCTCAAGCCAGTGTGCTGTCCTATCCTGTTTCCTTCTAGCTTGAAATAACTTCTCCGTTGTCTTAGAAAGTTGTCAGTTTTTTTTTGCTCTGGGAAGGTCTTAGAATTGTAGCAGCTGTTCCACTAGAAGCGAAGCACTATGTTTCAGCTGTGAAGTCGTGAGGATGTAGAGACCAGTTCGTCCCCCTTTCCCCATTGCAGGGAATGTTGGAGCAAGAAGTGAATTACAGGACACTTCAGTTCCTTGCCTTCCTGAGAAATTCAAAGTAGAGTCTCCCTGGGGTTAGCCCTGTGCTTGGTGCACTCAAATGAGGGGTGTGAGGACTCAATAAAGGTCATTCTGGATGATGTCCTCCTGAGGGAACCCTAGTCCCCCAGTCCCAGAGAAGCTCAAAACAATTTCTGGAAGAGCCCTTATTTTGAATGTTTCCTCTTTTTTCCTTTTGAAAGCCTATCAAGGTTTCTAAATTTCTTTCATACTAAATTTCTAGTATTCATACAAGGCAGACAGGGGTTGAGTTCCTCTCTCCAACTTATGATGTCAGCATTAGACCACCTTCAGGATTGTGTCTTGGAAATGAACTGTTACATCAGGGAGGAGCAGCCACCATCTTTCCTAGCACTTTGGCACCTATGGGGACCATCCAGGAGCTGGTGTGGCTCTTCTGGGCACTGGCTGTCCTGCCCTTCATTGGGGAGAAACTGAGGAAGCAGATGACATTTTCCTCGAGCTCTCAAGCTGTGCAATTACCTTGATTCATTCTGACATTAAAGGCAAAACACTATTTGGAAAGAATAAGGGTCTGTTTTATTTTCTTTCTTAGCAAATTAAATAAACAAACCAATCTTCAGTGATGCCACCCATCACGGTGAGAGTGTCACTTGTGAATATTATCCATCTGGGCAGCCTCAAGCCCTCACGATACCAGGAGAGTCAGCTGACCTTGGCAAAGCCCCTTGCCTCACTGTCCCCACTCCTCATTCCCACCTGGAAACCCACACTCCATCAGTCTTCCAGGTAGGGACATGTCCCTCTTCTTGCCTCCATGATGGTGCTGCACAGGTAGAACACAGGTCACCAGGTGAGGCAGGGTTCCTCTCCTGCTCCAGGCTGCCTCTAATACTTACAGGGCTAGATTCAAAGCTGAGTGCAGCAGGTGAACGGTGCTGCCAAAGCCAGCTTGCAGGATATTTGCTACATTAGCAGTAATGTCCTGGCTTATAGCTTCCCCAGGTGACATAGGGTTGCCATCCCAGTGAGAGTGAGGGGAGGTGGGAGCAATGGGGAATGCTCTGTCCAGCAAGCTGACCAGGCCTTGTGCCTCCAGGTCTCTAGAGTTGCAACAAACACAGTTAGGGCTTCACCTGACCTTCCTGTGCTTTCTCTCCAGGACAAAGAGGTGAACTTGGAACAGGTGCATCGGCGCATGAACAGCCTCATGGATGAAGACATTGCTCACAAGCAGATTTCTCCAGCATCGATTGAGCTCTCGGCCCTGGAGATGGGGGGCCTGGCTCCCAGCCAGGCATTAGAGCCAACGCGGGAGTACCAGAACACCCAGCTCTCAGTCAGCACCTTTCTGCCAGAGCAAAGCAGCCATGGCACCAGCCGGACACTCTCGTCAGGGCCCAGCAGCAACCTGCCGCTGCCTCTGAGCAGCTCGGCTACCATGCCCTCCATTCAGTGCAAACACAGGTCGCCCAATGGGGGGCTGTTCCGACAGAGCCCGGTGAAGACCCCCATCCCCATGTCCTTTCAGCCCGTGCCTGGAGGCGTCCTCCCAGAGGCTCTGGACACCTCCCACGGCACCTCCATCTGACCGCGCCGCCTGCCCTCCCGCCCGCCCACCCACCCGACCAGCAGAGCTTTTTAATACGAGAAAACGCCAACACAAACACACACACACACACACACACACACACACACACACACACACACACACACACACATACTCACACAGAGACTCTTTCATTTTTTCTTGTATATATGTGTAAATAATGACAGAATGGAGTGGGGTAAAAGTGTATTTTGAATATTCCCAATTTTCGAAGTCAGTAAAAAAAACACAAAAACTGTATGAATGACTTTGTAAATTTTGTTCTATATGAATAAAAAGGCAAATTACTTGTGATCATTCTGAAGTGCCGAAGGAGCCCCCTGTTCCTGGGTCTTCCTGAGGGCAGGAAGGGCAATGAGATAAGCAGGCCCTTTCTGCTGGGGAGAAGGAAGACCAGGAACCCTGATTGCTGCTCACTGCAGTGCCCTACAGATTCCCACCTCATTCCTCTCCCCTCCTTTCTCCTCCAGTCCCCTTGGGTAGATGAAAGTGACTAGAGCCTGTGTTGGCCTGGCACATTGGGTCACTGTGCTGTAGGGTAATCTATGTTAGCCTGGCACTGAGCAGATGCCCTGGATTAAGACATTCATGGCCAATCCTGTTCAAGGTGGTAACCCCACTGTGTGTCACAGTGTGTAGTGTACAGATGCCCCAGGGCCCAGAGAACTGCCCATATTGAGGTAACAGTCTCTGAGAGCTTTGATGCCTATGTGTTCTAATATGATCCTTTTGGTCTTACTTTTTACTTTCTTTTCCTACTCAGAAGAATCAACCAGTGGTAGACTATGGGGGAAGGAAGGCAGGACCCATTGTTGATTCAGGGAAGCTGGGCAGAGGTCAAATTGTACTTGTGGAAGGTCTTGGAGATAGGGAGATGCAAGGTTGGCCATGTTGACCACTTGAGGTAGTGGGATGAATAACCAGGTAAAGGAAGACTATTCACTTCCAAGGCGAGAGAGGAAAGGTGGTCACAGACACAGAAGCTTTGTGGTTTTAGATAAAAGAATCCCAGTGGAAGTAATTGGGGAGGTTCCCCAGGTGATGAGGGGGCTGGAGGGATAGTGGGTCTGGCTGGAAGTAGGTAGGAAGAGACTTGAACCTTAGGAGAGAAGCATCACTGTGTGAAGTCACTATGTGAAGACAAATCACTCCCATCACTTAAGGGATGGCCCGTAGCTCCAAAATAAGGGCAAGTCTCTCATCTTTAGTCCTTCATGAAGCTGGCCAAACTTGGCCAGACCCCAGCATTAGCCTTCTCTCCAGGCCTTACCACCTTATCCAGACCAAGAGTCCTTACACAGTGATTCAGCCCAGAACAGGGGCCCATTAGGCTGAAAGCATCTTATATCATCTGAGATACCCAGGGCAATCCTAAGCTGGCGAACTTGCTGGAAACCCTGTCTCATAACACTAGAACAACTTACAGCCTCACATCCCTCAATTATCCTTTCTGGAGCAGAGAAAGAACCATGAGGAGTGGAGTAATCAGAGGAATCTGAGCTGCGTCACTTCAGTTCTTACCCTTTTGAAGACCAAATTTATTCTAATCTGCTAAACTATCAAGGTGGAGAGTACAACCCACATTCAGCACTAAGCATGGGACTACTACCCACCATGGAAATCATGAGCCTAAGATCCTGGGTCTACAGTGATGGGGAAATACAAAATCCTATTGATTGCTTCTTCTGTAACCACATAGAGTTACTTGAGACATGTATTTATGAGGGTCATAACCAGCCCAGGATTGATTTCTTTCCTAAAGTCCCTAGCTACATGACTGAGCAGTAAGGAATGGCTGTATCACACAGTCAGCTAAAAGCACTGTAGGGAAGAGAGTGTTTATAATTACGTTATTTATCTTTGGGTGCTGGGAATGGCTTGATATTAGTGCTACTGGGGTGATCCATTAACACTTCTTCAAAGTGTGTGGAGCATGGAGCTGGTGTATGTTGGTAAAGCCTGGGTGGGTTACCATCAACTGAGAAAGAGCTCATTTTGTTTTCTTTCCATCAGAATTTTGGGGGACCTGTCCTAGGTGGTCAATTTTTCATATATATATTCTATTTTTAAAATCAAGTTCTGGTTTCACTGCCTTATCTTATACCCAAGTCTTTTTTTCCTGGAGACAATCATCTTCTTTGATGTAGCATGGATACGGATAATTTTTGGATGGCTTTGCTCAGAATGGGTATCAGGGAGGAAGAGAGCTGTAGGGCGTGTGTGTGTGTGTGTGTGTGTGAGAGAGAGAGAGAGAGAGAGAGAGAGAGAGAGAGAGAGAGAGAAGAACCAGTATCACTGAGGGAAAAGTATACTACTTCTAAAAGCCCTTAATACCTCATGGTGTTAGTCTACACCATGTTTATGTTATTTTTTAAATTTTTCTATCCTTGGCATGAGGGAAATGATTGATATCCCAGTTCTCTAGGGGAAAAAATAACAACAACAAAAACTAGAATCTTCCCAACTCAGATTTCTGTCAGCTCAGAATGTATCTTTTTCTCATGCTTTGCTCTTTGGATTTATAACTCTGTTTAGACTATTCCACACACTTAGGTATATTTTGTGCCTTCAGACACTGCAAATAATAATCAGCATTTGGATTAAAGTTGTTTAATAATAAAACTTGTCTGCTCCCTCCGCTCTTATTCTCTGGGATGAAGAAATGCCGTCTGCTTGTTTCTGGGTATACTGTGGCTATGAACTCAGTTCTGTCCCTTTGGCATGTATAGCCTTGAGAATAAGGTACTCTTCCCAGGTGATTCTCAGGTATACCTGAGGCAGGGAGCATGCTCTCCTCATCCAGCACATATCTAGAGTCCACTGTAATCAACCAGGGGACAGTGTGAGGGATGGACTGGGCTGTAATTCTAAACTTTGGTTTGCCTAATGGTTCCTTTAAAATGTTGAGTTCGTGGAAGACTCTTAGTAGAATTGGGCCATAATACATAATGCACAGTGAGCACCCTTTCTCATGTCAGCTGCCTTTGTTGCTTCTCGCATCTCTGTACTCACTATGACTACATATCTGACTTGCTTCCATGTGCTTATGTTTCATGACTAAGGGACTGTCATTCTTGGAGGACCCCCCAGTTTGACTTGTCAACATTTGGCATTTAGGTCGCTTATGAGCATTCCCTACACTCAGCCATATCCGTGGTCCTGGAATCCTCCTCCTTTACAACCTCCCTCCCCAGTTACAGGTACCCCACCTCTGGCATCCCAAAGATCCCCTCTGATTTCTGGGCTTTCCTGGAGAAAACAGCTTTAATGTCAGCCTTGGCATAAATCAGGTTGACCTGAGAGGCTGGATTTCATGATGAAGATCTCAACTGCTAGAAACCAAAGGGAGAATGCCTGGTTCTTATTCTCCCATTTCTGCAGTAGTGACAGGCTTCTCCAATGTTGGGGCAAGCTTCATAGACTGGAGATGGGACATGGTGGAAAGGCCTTCCCAGGTTTTCTGGACAGAGAGATGGGGCTAGACAGGCGCAGCTACAGGCACACCCCCAAAGGGCTCTGTTTTCTTAAGAAAAAGCACACATGTAATCCTAGTGACTCAGGAGGCAGATATCAGGAGGATCACGGTTCAAAGTCAGCCTGGGTTAATAGTTCATGTGACCCTATCTCGAAAAACCCATCACAAAAAAAGGGCTGGCACAGTGGCTTAAGGCATAGGTCCTGAGTTCAAGCTCCAGTACTGCAAATAAAAAGAAAAATGCAGCCCAGCTCCTAAATTCTAAATCCCACAAATCATGCTGAGGCAAAAACAATTCCATACAAAATTTTTGTCTTTTTAATCTATGAAAGGGGAGTAAGGACACAAAAATGGCCATGAGGTCCACAGGCCATGATGATGTCATAGAATGATTACTTCCTATGAGCTATGCTTTTTCATTTAAAAATCACATAGTTGAATAATGAATAATAGAAATATTATTACATATTTTCATATTTTAAATTTAATAATTATATTTTAAATACAATAATTTCATTTAATAATAGGTATGACTACAAGTTCATGTCTTTAAAGCCTTGTTAACACAAGACTGGATAAAAGCTCAAAAATTTTTAACTGACCTTTTCTTGCTGTAGTCACAGTAAAAGAGGCGGTGTTTCTGTTCCTAATGCAACATTTTAAAATACCTAAAACATTCTTTTATTTCATGCCATTAGTTGAATTTAATAAATGAAATTGTTTGACTCCTATCCTCACCCTTCATACCAAGAAAATGTACATAATAAGTCTTTCTATTGTCAATAACTTTAATCATTGTCTCATTATTTCTGTCTGTGGTATTTTAGTCAGAAGAGGTTACTTATGAGAGAAATGCACATATTCCTGATTCATTGCATGAGGTAATAGTCACTGCTTACAAAAGAGGAAGGGATAATTGTCAATACTCTCTGATAACCCTCAACCCCCGCAGCTTTCATTGTCTCATGTCTGAACTTGATGCTGAGTGCTGAGCTCCAGATAGTAGGACCCCTCTCTGCAGCAAGAAAAACTCTAGCTGCAGAAATATGCAATGATAATGGACAGGATCTGGAAGAGGGCATCAGACAGGTTCTGATCACTTAGGATGAGTGACCTAATGTGATGCAAGGAGAGCTCAGTTGCTGAAAAATTCTAGCATACAGTTGCCAGGGTAACCAGGTGTTCAAGCTCAAAGGAAAAGAAAATATTCACCAACACATTGACACCTACTGATACTCAAAATAAGCCTATACAGACACATATGCTTATATGCACACATTCACTTAAAAACACCGAAGTCTATCTATGCAGACACATTCACACTCTCTTGCACACACATGTTGAATTTAAAAGCAGACAGTAATGTACTTGACTGGAGCAAGCAGGGGAATACAGCTCATTAGAGTTGAGAGACAGGGTCCAGGGGAAGAAAGAGGCTGATTCAGGGCTTCCTCACCCAGTGCAGTTGCATGTAACAATCAGCCATGCAGCACTCTGCAATCAGTCTCAGCCACCAAGGAAGGAAGCAAGGCACATCTCCTGCAAAGAGATCTCTATCCTGCCAGGCATCCTGGTGTGCACAGCCAACCTTCCTGTTACTGATTCCTTACTCTGAATTCCTGATTTTCAACCAGAATCTCTGCAATATGCAAAGAAGTACAAACTGTTCTCCAAGACATCATAATTGTTTCTAAATTAGTTACATGATTATATCCATATCTAATTCTTTTATCTATCAGGTTTTGTGTTCCAGGGACCATACTATAGCCTATATATAAAAAAAACTCTCATGGTAAAAACTCTCATTCTCAGATCATCT